CACCTGGTATGAGCCGTTTGTGGTTTTTAATCATAACGAATGGTTTTTCTCCTAATATCTCGCTTTTTACTACTTTTGCTTTTTTGGTTTACTTGAGATGTAACTAACGATTGTGCTATGTACCGAATATTACTTTGAAATCGTGAAACTAATACTTGATAGAACTTGGGCAATACGTTCATGAAAATATTCTTGTGTGCTGTCAGTACGTTTCAGTTGCTGGTACGATTATTCCACCGATTTGAAATTAAGATCTTTTGAAGAATAGTCTATACTATATTCAGCTTCTGGTCAGTTCTAGAGATAAACGATTTATAAATAACCATTAATTAAAGATAGAGCGTGGAAAAATGGAAACATATATTCATATTTGTACAAGTACTCTGCAAAAACTGGTGCAGTATTAATCATCTTTGACGTAATTTAAATCTTATGTTTGTATAAAAAATAATTTAATCTCTTTTCTTTTTATTTTTATAGCAATAAAGGTTACTATGGATCGATTTCTTTTAATCACATTTCTTTGTGTCAACTGGTCACATCTTGCATTCAGTCAGGGTAGGTATAATTTGATGTTATTTATAATATATTGGTCTTTAAGTCGGAAGGAAGTTATTTAGCAATAGGTGAAATAAGTGAGCAGAAAATTTCAACAAAATAATAGATCTGAGTTTGACTTGGTAAGGTGCGAGTCGAGTTAAAGGGGGGGGGGGGATAATATCAAAGGCTGAAGGTATGAATAATAATCCTGATCATTATATATTATTATTTTTTAGCTGCTTTACCATGGACCTATATTCCAAATGCCTTACTAGGTAAGAATTTACTTGATATNCGTGTATCAAAGGCTGAAGGTATGAATAATAATCCTCATAATTATGTATTATTATTTTTTAGCTGCTTTACCATGGACCTATATTCCAAATGCCTTACTAGGTAAGAATTACTTTGGTATATAGTGGTGTGTGTATTGTTAAGTTTCTTTCAATCTTTTGTATTACGTCATTTGGTGATCGCAATATACTAGAAACTACCGAATTTTCTCAGTACCGATTCCTTAATCCTTCAGTGTAAATGGGATCTTTGCCACCAATCTTATATCAAGTCTATAACAAAAATAGATTCCAGTATATTAACGACCACGAGGTTTCCCTCATCAAGCCTCAGTGAAAAAAAAATAATAGTAGCGGACTGAATAAAACTCTTCAACGTTGGGGATTTCCCGAAAAAAGCCCCCAAAACATAGTTTGGGGACTGAAAAGGTGATTAATTATATTACATGTAACGTGGTGAAGGTAGTTAACTAAGTTAAAATATCAAGCTATAATAATTAATATAATTAATGAATAAATGTCAGGCAAATGTAATATTTCGTTTTCTCTTTATCTAGCCCTTCTCCAAAAATCTTAAATTTCGTTACTGGAACCATGCAGCTCTGCGTTAAACGTTAACACTGCTATGTTGAGTAAAAATGTTTCACAGTCGACCGATTTATTCCTCTTTCAACACGTTTTGTAATTAGTTACCAGGGCCCAGTTTCTGCTCTATTATTGGCCATCTCCATTCTTATTCTGCCCATTAATTTTTGAACATATATGTCGAGTAAAATAAAAAGGTCGCCAAGAGATCTTTTTATATTTCTGGTGCGATGGAATTTAATGGTCTTCCTCCCCATAATAAATCAAAGGAATCCTTCATTGAATTCTCAAGGTACACTTAAGACTTTTTCCTTAATTAGATGATACGTTTCATGTTATGTGTAGATGCATTCTTCTTTTATACATTTTTGGTCGTGTGACAATTTTCTAAGCGAATTTTTACCTTTTGGAACTTTTGTATTTTTACTTATGTACTCTATAAATAAAAGGACCTCCTTTGATACCACTGTTTATTACACTGACGGGGTTTATCCTGTATATAAATATTAGTAGTAGTAGTAGTAGTAGTAGTAGTAG